AGGACTTGCCCTGAGCTCACTCTGAGACCACCATCCACACAGCTCACAGTGCGTGATGCCTTGTGCCTCTGTGTTGGGACATCTTAAAGCTCTGTGATATTTTCCATTCCCCTAGAGAGGTGAAGGTCACCCAGGCCGTCTGCTAAGTGAGCGCTGCTGTGTGAGTTCTCCTCTGTGGACTCCTCTACCTGTGGATAAATGCTGTCTTATAATGGCTCTGGGTGTTTGGCTCCTGCTCAGCCAACCCCTGCTAGCAGACATAATGTGATCAGTATTGATGAAATGCTTGGCTTCTGTTTAGAAGTATCTGTGATAGGCTGATGCAGGAATACACCAACACAGGAAAAATGCACACAGACACTCGGCCAAAAGATTACTTTCAGACTTTTGTGAAGAGGGGAGCTTGCCTGAAATTAATCCAATAAGTTTTTCCATTCATCTGTATGCTTAATTGCTTCACAGCATCTCTAACTAATGAAGGAAGAGTTTCTCAACTTTTTTAACTCACTGTCACAGTGGTACAGCAGACAATGCATATTCTCAAGGCCACAGCCACAGATTCTGCCATTAGAGCATTGTAAATCAAGAACTTTCAAATTAGCTGCTTGTATTGTTCTTGGTGCTGTTGAGTGCTAAAATCTGCAATGTGTTTCAGCAGGGGAGAGGAGAGAGAGGAGAGGGGAGATCTTGAGGAATAATTCAATTTTATTTCCTTGGCTGTGGCTGTGCAAGACAGATTTAGAATATGCATCTAGCAGAGATGGATTGGAATTGGTGGTGATAAATTGGCCCAGTTACAGAGCTCCAATGGAGAGGAACAGGAAAGAGACAAAAAGCAAAAAAGTTCCTGAGTTGGAAAAGGTCAGATGTAAAGTATTAAAGCCAAGAATATAAAGTAGTCATGTTTGCTCTTTGTGGAAATTAACGTGGACAATTCGACATACCCTGTGTCGACTGAGCACAGAAAAAGTACAGTCAAAAGTTTTGGTGCCACCATCTTGGAATTGCTCTCAGCTTCAAAACTTTGCAGATTTATCCTCAGACCTGCTTGGTTGTGGATGAATCTATAACGGTGTGGCTGGAAGCCTCTATGTGTTTGCAGAAAAATGTCTCCACACAAATCAAACACAAGCTGATGAAAAGTGTAGTTACTCCCCAGGCAGCCAGCAGGCAGTCCTGTGTTCTGGCCCTTTTGTTTATGGGCACCTGGAAAGCTCATCTGTTTTGTCCAGAGATGGTCAGAGGGCCACAAGTCTCATTGGAGCTCTGATGACAGTCTGCCTTTGTAGAAAAACTGTTTTCTTCTTACACTTTTCTTTCTTATTGTGTATCTTTGTCTCTCCTCTCTGTCTCTATAGGCTCTGTCATTTATTGTACGTGAAAGGGTTGAAATCTCACATTGTTAGGGTTGGAAACAGGCTGATGTAGCATTTCTCTAAATAAGGGGCCATAACAGGGCCACAATTTACTCAGAGGGGCCAATTATATGATTCATTTAGGTGCACATTTAAGTCGTTCCATGTTTAGCTCCTGTTAGCTCTATGGCTTTTAGCATAGCCACACAACGTGAAGAGATTTTGAAAATTGTTTGTTGTTTGTGTAATCCAAAAAGTCGACCAAAATATAACTTATTGTTAGTAAGTAACTCGTTTATTGAAAACAAAATAAAAGACTGACAGAACAGGTGCAGGGGCCAATCAGATTTCAGCTGGGGCCAGTGCCCCCCTGGACCCTGCCCCTGGATCCACCCCTGTTTGGTAATGAGGAAAAGAATGAGGAGCAAATGTAATATAAAACGTTTAATGATGTAAAACCTCTTTTGGCTGTTAACCAAATATTTTTGCCAGTCTAAATCTGCCACTTCATCTTAACCTTGCTGCCTCTCTCTTTGAATCAATGTGATTACAATTATTTCCCAGCAGGATAACCTGGACTACATGCTGCGTATGTCATTACCTCTCCAAGCACCGACATTAGCTCTACTAATGCGCCTAATCCACATTGTCCTTCCGGCCTCTCACAGACAAATGCATCCGCTGTCAGCAGCCTGTAAATGATGCACTTCCTACTGATTTCATCTCAGCCTCTAAATTACAATACAATTAATTCCCTGGAGGAGCAGGTACTTCCATCCACAGAATCAAAGATGAAGCCTTGATTAATTCCGACTGTGCCTGACGTTTGGAGCCAGGCCTTAAAGCACGCCTCAGCCATATTGGTGTTTTTTCTTTAATAAAGATGAGTCAAAAAACACAATCTAAATCCTTTGAGGGCAGTATTGATTTGATCAAGGAGATTAAATAAAAATTCTCCAAAAGAAGAGGAATATTACTTCATGTCCAAAAGGCATTTTAATTTTGAGCTTATGAAAGTGATCATCTCTAGCAAACAAAGGGATGGTGAAAGTATCTGAAAATACAGTGCCATTGTGAACAGCAAAATTCAAAATGTTTTACGGAAGGTCAAACTATTTTTCTTTGTTGTTTCAAATTTATTATGACCAGCTATGAATTATATCCTAAGATTTGTTATTGTATGAGTGGATGGTGAACATTAAATATCAAATTCAAGCACTCATGCTTGGATCTGAATAACCTACAAAAAATACTACTGTATATACAGTATAATGTACTTACCTCCAACAAGTACAAACTAAGATTGCACAAAAAACAACCATAGCTGATCATGAAAGTTGGTGGAAGGTTGGGACATGGGTCAGGGAAGAACCCTTTTAATTTTCTGAACTGGATTGTTGGGTGATTTGTTGGGTAACTCAGTTCTTCAACATTGTGTTTTCACCATTTTCCCTGTTTTCCCAGGCGATAATGAATTGATCTTGGTGAAATCAGGCACATTTAGGGGACTGATATCTATGAGTGTGTGCAAATTGCTGCAGCTTGATTGAATTTAAGTGGACTATTGGGCCTTGGGAGAGGTATGTGCTCTACTGATTGCTTTTTTTTTGTTACAGAAAGTCAATGCAATGACTTTAGACAAAAGGCCAAATAGTATCAAAATTAAGTTGTTTTTTTAAATGAAACTGTTACGAATTGTACCTTTAAGACTGGACATATCTTTGACAGTCATCAAGTAATTCCTTTTTTCAAGGCAGCAAGTTTGTACACACAACTCTGAACCCAAAGCAAATATTATGAAGAATTTGTATGGTTACCTTGGGGGGAGAGGGAGCCTCAAACTCATTAAGACGTTCCAGGTTGGATGCAAGATAAGCCTTGCAGAGTGACGGGAAGACTGCTGCAGTAATGACCTGGAAGCTGTGTGTGTGTGTGTGTGTGTGTGTGTGTGTGT